TATGATTTTTTATTAATTTTTATGATTTTTTATTAATTTTTATTAATTAATTTTTATTAATTCTTATTAATTTTTATTAATTTTTATTAATTTTCATTAATTTTTATTAATATTTATTAATTTTTATTAATTTATATTAATTTTTATTAATTTTTATTAATTTCTATTAATTTTTATTAATTTTTATTAATTTTTATTAATTTTTATTATTTTTTATTAACTTTTATTAATTTTTATTATTTTTTATTAATTTTTATTAATTTTTATTTATTTTTATCAATTTTTATTAATTTTTATTAATTTTTATTAATTTCTATTAATTTTTATTAATTTTATTAATTTTTATTATTTATTAATAATTTTTATTAATTTTTAATAATTTTTATGAATTTTTATTAAATTTTATTAATTTTTATTAATTTTTATTAATTTTTATTAATGTTTATTAATTTTTAATAATTGTTATTAACTTTTATTAATTTTTATTACTTTTTATTAATTTTTAATAATAATTTTTTTTTAATTTTAGTTTATTTTTGAGATACTACCAAACAAAAATCTAAAAAGCACAGAGCAAGTCATTATTTATTTATGCTACAATTATAATTTTAAGTTGTTCAAAAAATGTATACTTCTTTACAAATTTTCACAGCCGTTTTCCCCCTTTAAAATGTGAAAATCCAAAAACCATGAAACACATCATTTTCGATTTTTAATCAATAGCTGTAATTCAAATTTTTCTGTTTCAAACTAAAATAACAAAAAATATATACATACCTACTATTAAAAAAAAAATTTCACCCCCCGCATTTCCAATTTTAAGTCCCCACCTTTAAAAAAAACGATATGTTCAAATAAACTTTCACCCCCCGTTTCCCACCCTACAAATGTTAAATTCCAAATACCCAAAAACATTATTAAGTTGTACTCATTAGCTGCAATTCCAATTTTTTGTTTCTAACTTCAAAGAGAACAAAAAATCGATACTCTCATATAAACTTTCACCCCCCGTTTGCCACCCTTAAAATGTGAAAATTCAAAAACCCTGAAACACGTCATTATTTATTAATGCTCAGTAGCTGTAATTCAAATTTTCATGTTCCTAACTTCAAAGAACAAAGAGTTTCATTAAAAGCTCCTTCTTCCCATATTCCCCCTTTAAAGTTAAAATTTACAAAAATCCTTTCTTAGCGGATGCTTACGTTATAAAATAAACCTATGTTTCAATCTTCAACTTTCTAGGCCCAGTAGTTTTGGCTGTACGTTGATAGGTCAGTCAGTCAGTCAGGACAAACAATTTTATGTACATATATAGATTATAAAAAAATGTATGGATGTATGTGTCAGTGTGGCGACAGTGTAACACCGCTAACCTCTACAGGTACGGATCTGGAAATATTTTTTTTGTTATTAAAGCATTTATAAATTTTTCAAAACGTCTTTAAAAAAACTATATTTTAATTTGCACTATTTCGGGTTTTTAAGGTGTGAACTAGTTTAATAATAATACAAAAGTTTCTTTTAAAATGGACTATGATTTTTTATTAAATAACTTTTAAATAACATCAACCCTTTTTTATGCTTTAATAAGTGTACTTATTATTCGTAGGTATTCATATAAAACAAGAGCAAAAAAGATTATGGACTTAGTTACATCGTCTTTTCGGAATGACGGTATGTATGTTTTGAATGCATAAAAAACAAATTTTCGGTATTTATATTTTATTTAATTGGTATTTTTTAGAGTCTGATCAATCATCAATAAATGAATCTCCTTTTGAAGATTTTAATGATGATACCACCTATGATCCTACTTCGGATTTAGATCTGGTAGTATAAAATATTTGTTTTTTAAGATGCACAACAACAAAATAAATTTTATTTTAGATATCAGATACAAAATGTTCTACAAATTCCAATGCCACCGTTATTATACCTTTACAAAACTGTTTAACATATGACCAAAATGATTCTGTCTTTGATTTTAATTCATCGGAGAGTCCTGAAATTGTAGGGTTAAAACCAAATAATAACATTATTCCTAGAAAATCTAAAGTTCATGAAATACAGACTCAAAATGTAAGTTAATTACCTAATATGTTTATTGAATCCCATCTTTTCACTAACAAGGCACAATAGTATTTTACTCTATATTTATTATAAAATGAGAGTTTGAGCTTATTTTTGGATTTTCGCTTTTTCGAAATAAACATATTAGAATATCAGAAAAATAAAAATATTTTAATTTCGTAATCTAATATGTTTATGAATTGTATTAATGATTCTTTTACTATCTTTAAAGTTACAAAACATTTTTACATTACCGACCGTCAACTTAAAACTTATACCAGTATTATCCCCAAAATTCTATTAAAAATTTTAAATGATCGAATAACGCACTTCGTTTTACTTTTTACTTTTTTTTTCAGATTTCCGCCGCAAGTTTTGACGATACTCTAATTTCCCTATCGCAAAATGAGAGTATACCAATAGAAAATCAAAACAAAGACATCTCAAATAAAAAAATGGTTTGTGATTGGGTTGTCTCGTCTAACTTTACTGCAAATCAAAAATCTAGACCGCCACTAAATAATCCTTTAATAAAACAAGTAACAACCCAACTAGTAAGTTAATTATATACTACAATAAGTTAATTTTTTTCCAATTTACATTGATACTTCGGGTGAAAAAACTACATTAAATCTACAATGGGCTTAATGAGGCCTAATAAGTGCCGGGGGGGGGGGGGGGGGTAACCCACCCCACATATCCTGTATATTTTGAAATTTTATAAAATGTTAAGCAATTCTTGACAACTTTTGTCTATAATTTTTATCTACACACTCTTTCATTATGCAGATTTTTTTTTATTTTTCTAAAGTTACTTGAATAAAAGATAATTGTTTACAAAGCATATAAGACAGATCATTTTTTTGTTTATTATTATTTGTATTATAGAGGATGCTATCAAGATAACATAGCAAAAAAATATTTTTTCGAATATTTTGAATTTCCATACCCTTTCTAGAAAACTAACAACACTTTTGGGTTTGTTTTTAACAAAAATTTAGGCCAAAGAACCATATAATTTTTTTGTGTAAATTTAAAGTTTCAATTTACATACAAAAGTCAAAAATGAAATTAAAGTTTCGAAAAAGCTTCAAAGCAGTTCTCTAAAAAATATTTAAAGTAACAGCATAATTTTTTGATAATAATCAAATTTTTATTCTCTTTAATCTAACTTTTTATTATTCTATATTTGCCGTATTTGAGAAAATTAAAAAAATTATTATAATTTTTTTTAAAGGAATGATTTTATTTGATCAGTTTTAAATGATACTACTTATATTGATTAATAAAATTTTGAATATGAAAAATGATTTTGTATACAATAAAATTTTAAAAGAAAATTATTGCATTTCTCTTGTATTTTTTAAACATGTAAGTTAGTATATTAAATAAATTAAAATTTTAAAACCACTGACCAAAAGTTCCACTTTAAAAAACCAAGAAAACTGCTTTGAACTGTTTTTGGAAAATTCATTTATTTGACCACTCTACATAAAACGAAAATTCAAAACTTTGTCCAAAGCTCTATAAAAATGTGACTATATATTTTACCTGAAAAACTTTTCCTGAAACCGTGATAGTCCAGTTTTCTAAATTGTATTTGTTAATTTAAGGTCGCACAAAAATGTAATAACAAATGGAAAAAAAAAGAACAAAATGCAAATTTTGCTCTTTAGAAGTTACAAATTTTGAGCGCCATTTAGAAAGAAATCACACAGATGTAAAGGAAGTAATAGAATTATTAACATATCCCAAAAAGAGTAAAGAAAGAAAGCAAATAATAACTTTAATAAGAAATTCTGGGAATTTTGACGAATTTTTAAGGGGTACTTTAAGGCCTATTTATACAACAAAAGATAAATCATCTACGTCGTACTATCCTTGCGCAAATTATAAAGGATTATACTCAAAAAAATTCCTTTCTCGCCATCGCAAAAAATGCATGGCTGTTAATGTTAATGAAAACTTAGATAAGAATAGACACCAATCAGCATCGCAAACTTTAATTGCATGTGCAATTGAGGGAAATAATACTTTACATAAATTGCGTGTCAGAAAAGAAGTGTTTGATATTATGAAAGCAGATGATATTTCTTTGGTGGCAAAAACAGATCCACTGATATGCCAGTTTGGGGAGCAATACTTAAAAAAACACAGAAGAAAACAGATGGCGGTTGTGTGTTCAAATAAAATGAGACAACTAGCAAGATTCTTAATTGAGTTACGGCGCATTAAAAACGATGACAAATATACATTGTGTGATGCAATTAATCCGGTAATGTTTGACACAGTTATAGAATGTGCTAAAAATATCGGCGGATATGACCCAAATACAAAATCTTACAGAGCTCCAAGTTTATCGGCACACATTGGAACGTCTTTGAAACAAGTTAGTAATTTACTTATGCTCTTATTAATTAAAAAAGACCCAATTTTTAAATTTGTTGAAGATATAGAAATTAAAATACAGGAGATAAAACGATTTAATGAGTTAATTGTTTCTCAGTGGACGACCGAAATAAGCAGCTTAGCTTTTAAAGGCCTTAATGAAAGAAATTGGGATAAACCAAGAGTCTTACCCTTAACAAAAGACATAATAAAATTTAAAACATACGTCACCGAAATTGCAAATATAGCTTTGACAACTCTTAAAGATAATCCCAATAATATAAAACAGTTTAAAAATTTAGTTGATGCGACTCTTGTTTTAACTATATTATACAACAGAAAACGCATTGGTGACGTACATTATACTTTGTTAAAAACTTACCTCTCTAATTTTTCTACGATAAATCAAGATGAATGTTTAAATTCCCTATCGCCTTCAGAGATACTTTTGACAAGACATTACAAAAGAGTAGTTACAGGGGGGAAAAGGTAGCAAACCCATTGTTATTTTGTTCCCCCCCAACATTCAAGAATACGTACTTATGATTATTAACCTACGCCAAACAACTGATTCGGTTACTGAGAAAAATCCATACCTATTTGCACATCCTAAAAGTGATCGATGGGTACGGGGTGATGTAGCTATTCGTAAATTTGCTCAGAAAGCTGATTTGGAACATCCTAAAGAGATTACAAGTAACAAACTAAGAAAACAGATAGCAACCGTCATGCAAATTTTAAATCTTAATCAGGAAGAAACGGAACAGTTTGCACATTTCATGGGACATACTGAAAAGACGCATAATGAGTTTTACAAGTAAGTTTATTATACCGATTATCCTTTTATTTCGCGATCCTAAAGTTTATGGGGTAGCCTTCCTTTGTACCGTAAAAAATGTTTACCTGTTTCAATCTCAGTTCGGACCGTCGCGCGTCACGTCGCTTATAATATAATTATCAACAGTAAGCAAGAAATTTTATTTCCTAATGATAGTAACAGGTTTGAGTTTTTAATAGCTGTATAGTTAGGTATTTTTTTTTACTTTCACAACATCAATTTTCGACAAAAAAATGGTGTATAGCAAGGGCAGAAGTTGGAAAGGCCACGTCGAGCGGCTTCGAGAATTTCGCAGTTATGTTTACCTGCCAGTGTTTTTTCATAGAATAAGTAATTCATAATTCTACAAAATTTCAACAGCTATTTACAATTTATTAAACTATTTACTCGAAATTGTTTTTAACATCTATAAAATAATTTTGTGCGTCAATGTATCGCGTCCACTTCGTTTAGTGGAAGAACTGGCAAAAGCCTTTCCAACTTCTGTCACTGCTATATCTACGGAGTTTAGTATAATTCGCAATAGGAACTGAGACTGGCCTTAAGTACATATTTTAAAATCAATATTAGAAGAAGCAGTACTTAAAATTCCATTATTTTTTAATAAAAAAAAATATTTATAAAACTCAAATTTTTAGTAAGTTACAAAAAAATTCAGGATATTTTTTTATTATTATAGTTCTTTTCCATAACAATTATTTAAAACGTTTTTAACATTATAATTCGCATAATTATTATTTATGACTCTAGATTGCGAAATGTCATTTTTACAAGCAAAAACTACATTTGAAAATGCAAGAGTTTCGCAGTCGAGCGTCAAACATTATTTTTTCAAAAACTATCCAAAATTACAAAAAATGTGAAGAGAACATTTTGACATTTACAATTATTTTATTTGACATGTTTGTCTTCAACAATTTGTTGCAAATATTTTTAAAATAAAATAATATTCTTCTTTGATTTTAATAACTACATATATTGATTTTTGTAGGTGAATGGTAGGATGTAATAGTATATTATTCAATGAGCATATAATGTTGCTATTATTCACAAGAATAGTAGCGAGTAGAATACTATATATTGTCCACTACTACTACTATATTATTTCTTAAAAAATTATGAGGTCAAAACTTGAAATTATAATATATATAATTAATTCGACTTTTAGGAGAGCGTGTGTATAATGATTATACACTGCTAATAGTTCTAATAGCGCATGAAACATAACTTTCTAATTTTAGAAAACTAATAAAAAATGGGTTCATTTTGAAATAGTCGTGGACAAAACCCGTTTTTCTACGTTCATGCAAAAACTATAATTTATTGAGCTATAACTTTGTTCCAACAATGATTCTAATTCCATCAGTATTTTACTGCGCATGTGAAGTAGCATTTTCCTAACGTTAAAATGCTATTCCACATGTGCAGTAAAATACTGAACGATTCAGAATCCTTGTTGGAACAAACCTTATATTTAGTGCGGAAAGTGGTTCCCTACTGCACTAGTGCATTAACATTTTGTTTAACTCTTCTGTCATTCTACACCTTGTGATCATGACATTCAAATTGTCGTTATATCTAGTCCTGTTTGTGTTCTAGTTTCTGGTTTTTGCATGATTGTGTTTCCAACTCGAGCAAAAAGTATTTATTGAACTCGACGTGTTGTTCAACTCGGTCCAAAGGCCTTATTTGACAATTTTACGTCTAGTGTAATAAACACTTACTTTCTGCACTTGTTTCATAATAGAATGTTGTTTTACGAATGACAAAAGTAACATTTTTTGAAGCAAGAGAACAATTTACCAGCCGAGTCAAGTAATGTTCACGAGCTTCAAAAAATGTTTTCGACGAGTGAAACACTATACTTGCTCTACAACCCTATTTATATTATAATAATATACTAATACTTTCAATGCAAACTGACAAGTCTAAACAAGTAACAAGGAATGTTAAACTAATGAAACCAGGCAACTATGTATACTTTGTTTTTATATCTCACAGTGTTTTTACGATTCTTTTTTGCTTTTTAATCAAACAAAAGTAAAGAAATGCATTCTACTTATAGAAATGATTCCTGTCTTTGTTCATTAATAATTTAAATTCGTTAAAACATTATAAACGACGGCGGAAAATGATTAAAAATATAAATTTAACGTACGTCACTGGGGACGAAATTTAACGTTATGAAAATTTCATTACAAAATTACGTCTTTTTATAAAGGGTTGTAGAAAAAATTCGTTTTAACTATTAAAATCGGATTGTTTCAAAATGTCATGATTTATATTTTAGAATACCACAAGATGTTTACCAAACAGCTAAGGTTTCCAAATTATTAATATTAATGGACAAGGGCTTAGGGGATAAATACAAGGGAAAGTCCTTAAATGATATAGACATAAATCCAGAAGTAGATCTTGCAGAATCTGATGATTCCGAAAATGATTCCCCGATAACAGAACGCAACCTGCAGAGTACTTTTGAACCAATCATTTCACAACCATCTACCTCAGCTTCAGTTTCAATAGGTAAGCTAAACTCTTTAAATTGTTATTCGATAATAATAAACTTACCTTTTTATAGCCCCCAGAAAAACAGGTAGAACGGCTTGGACTACGGCGCAAACAAAGGTTGTAATAAATTACTTTGAAAATCATATCAAGCTTAAGCAAGCACCAAAAAAACAAGAGTGCGAGGAACTCCTCAAAAAACACCCACACTTGTTTGGCAACAAAGATTGGGTACGAATTAAAACATATGTGTACAATACTTATCGCAACAAATAAAATTGTGGAAATATAAGTGTATTTTTTTTATTATATATTATATCCTAATTCCTAAAGGTTCCATTCTCACTTTTGATATTTAGTTAAGGTGATTACAGCATCCCCTTATAATAAAAAGTATTTTTTTTTTAATTTAAATTTTGGCAAAATAAATTAGGCAATAATATCTAGAATACGCATATTTTTTTAATTCTTTCCAGTTTCCGAGAAAAATCAAAGGGCTTTAAATTTTGAAATGTCATAATGGAAATAAATGCATTCCTCAACAGCACTATTCCTAATATTTTATTAATTTAATTTATTTATTTTTATTTATTTTTATTTATTTTTATTTATTTTTATTTATTTTTATTTATTTTTATTTATTTTTACTTATTTTTATTTACTTTTATTTATTTTTATTTATTTTTATTTATTTTATTTATTTTTATTTATTTTTATTTTTATTTTTATTTATTTTTATTTATTTTTATTTATTTTTATTTATTTTTATTTATTTTTATTTATTTTTATTTATTTTTATTTATTTTTATTTATTTTTATTTATTTTTATTTATTTTTATTTATTTTTATTTATTTTTATTTATTTTTATTTATTTTTATTTATTTTTATTTATTTTTATTTATTTTCATTTATTTTTATTTATTTTTATTTATTTTTATTTATTTTTATTTATTTTCATTTATTTTTATTTATTTTTATTTATTTTTATTTATTTTTATTTATTTTTATTTATTTTTATTTATTTTTATTTATTTTTATTTATTTTAATTTATTTTATTTTAATTAATTTTAATTTATTTTATTTTAATTTATTTTAATTTATTTGAATTTATTTGAATTTATTTGAATTTATTTGAATTTATTTGAATTTATTTGAATTTATTTGAATTTATTTGAATTTATTTGAATTTATTTTAATTTATTTTAATTTATTTTAATTTATTTTAATTTATTTTAATTTATTTTAATTTATTTTAATTTATTTTAATTTATTTTAATTTATTTTAATTTATTTTAATTTATTTTAATTTATTTTAATTTATTTTAATTTATTTTAATTTATTTAATTTATTTTAATTTATTTTAATTTATTTTAATTTATTTTAATTTATTTTAATTTATTTTAATTTATTTTAATTTATTTTAATTTATTTTAATTTATTTTAATTTATTTTAATTTATTTTAATTTATTTTAATTTATTTTAATTTATTTTAATTTATTTTAATTTATTTTAATTTATTTTAATTTATTTTAATTTATTTTAATTTATTTTAATTTATTTTAATTTATTTTAATTTATTTTAATTTATTTTAATTTATTTTAATTCATTTTAATTTATTTTAATTTATTTTAATTTATTTTAATTTAAATTCATTTTAATTTTTCTTTTAATTTACTGTATTTTAATTTGTTTTAATTTATTTATTTTTATTAATTTTCTTTTACTTCTATCTTTTTATTTAATTTTATTTATTTTTGTTTAATTTTATTTATATATTTATTTTTATTTACTTATTTCAATTATATTTTTATCTTTATTTTTAATAATTTTTATTTATTTAATGGTACTTCAAGTGAGGACTAAACTGTCGCTATGTCGTTTTTATTAGTTCGTTACTCATATTTTTCCATATAAAGTCGTATAATATATCAAAAATGTGCAAATTTCAATTGTCATAACTTAAAAAAAAAAAACTAAAATAATTATTTTTCTAAAAAGAATATTCATTTTTTTCTATGTAAATAATAAAAAGAATAAAAAATATCATTGAATTTACAGCTCATATATAACTCTTCTTAACTTCTAAACACCCTAACTCTGTTAGTTTAGTAATTGCAAAAAATGCTAAATATCATTTTTATGTAAAACTTGATGCTCTACAATTTGTATAAAGAATTTTTTTTATAGCACCTACCGTTTTTAAATAACCTTAAAATAACACTTTATTTTCTTGTTTTTCGCCATTTGCCTGAGAAACAAAATTTTTTTACCTTTTGTTTTCGAATACTCTAAAGTGACTTATATCAAAAATTCCTGTATTTTCTACAAAATTTTGATTTATAGGTCCATTTGATAGGACTATAAATTTTTGGGTCATATTAAAACCACATATAATTATTTAAAAACTTTATTATGTTAATACTTGATATCAATTTAAAATATAAGCGCTATGGTTAATTTACAAACAGCATAGAAAATTAAAAATACCGAATATACCTAACTTTCTGTAAACATTTGAAAATATATCATAAATAATATACAATGTATCTGAAAAGTTGGCTACAAATAGGAAACTTTTTTTATTAATAATCATTGTACTTTATAAGTTATGGGCTCGATCGGTTCAAAGGTTCTTGCAAAAATATATTTGTTTATTCCGTTTTTTTTTTTTTTCAAAATGAATATTCGCTACTGAAAGTAATTTTAAATGTTTATTAGCCAAAAAATAATATTTTTTTTGAAAAAGCGGTCTTTCACGTCAAAAGAAAATTAAGAAAAACGGTATAAACAAATATTTGCAAAACTAATGGACCGATCCAACCCATCTCTTGCACACTTATAAAGTTTAATTAAACTCGTAATTTAAGATAAGTGGCACATTAATAATTAATATGTTAATAAATTGCAAAAACGGTGACCTAGAAAATTCAATTTATTATGTTTTTTTTTTATTCTCTACAACTTCTCTGTGAACCACAAATTTTTAAATTTAAATATTTTTAAGTTATAAGCAAAAAGGTGTTTTAGTTATAAAAATTTCCCACTTTCCCAACTTTTTCAGACATGCTTAAATGAAACTATAAAATAAAAACAAATTGTTAAAAATTTTGGTAACCGCATGTAAGATCACGATCATCGCAGCGTGAAACTGACAAATCTGGCAGAGTTATGGGAGGGCTGATATAAACACGACGAAGAAATTCCTCTGGGCTCCAAGAAGCTTGTCGCCTTCTTCGGTTACTTCGTCTATAGCATCTACAAAATTGATAGTATTCTACTACAAATCCACCATTTGTAACAGCTATACTACCAACATTACTGTTTTGCGGTTTATATGTAGACATATTTTGACGAACTCTACTTATGTCTTCACAACGTCTGAAATGTTGACTTCTGTACGTTACTGAGAAGCGGTGAGCATTCTTTCCAGGGCATATGAGAGGTGCAACTACTACAACATCATAACCAGGAGGTGCGTTGTTTTGAAACTCAACCAGAAGTGCTGGATCCACTTGGTCAGCTAGTGCGTAAGCATCACTGCAATGTAGTTGAAATCCTCTTCCTGGAGGTGGGGGAGGGGGAGGTGGTTGTGCTACTCCACCAGCGGGTGGCTGGGATAAGGTATAATTAATAAGGTAAAATAAAAACAATATTAATGGTAATACTGCCATATTTAATCGAAGTACGGAACCTAGAACAATAGTAAAACACTCAGAACCAAATAAAAAAATATTTTTGGAAAATGATAGTTAATTAAAATATTTTTAAATTGGAGATTTATTCGACAAGAAAAGGTAAACGTAATTAATTGAGAATATAACTTAAAATGGCAGCCGGCTGCATATCAAAAACCATTAAACATAGAAATGTAAGAAAAAATCTGATGTGTCCAATACATGACTTTCCTATCTAGTTATTACAAGCTTTTTCTGCTTATTTTCTACAACCTATTGTATCACCCTATAAATGTTTAGATTATGAACTAAATACACACGTTTTCCACACCCATTTTACTTGAAACATTTTTTTATATTTTTTTTCTATTTGTCTGTTTTTGAACTGAAATTCGAAATTTGCAAAATTATACAGTATTTTATTTAAACAATTTTCTTAGAAATTTGAATTTTTCACTGTGCCAAATTTCAATACGGACCATTTAAGAAAAATTATGTACAAAAACGAAATATAGAAAATGTTATTACAAACTACTTTTGATTTAATAATTCTCTACTTTATTCGTAAATAACAGGGATCTCTGTTAAAGTAAAAAACGACTCCTTACAAAGTGTTTCTTAGATGTTTCGACAATACCCAAACACCCAAAATTAATTAGCTCACCGCAGAATGGATTAAAGCTTAAATTTTAAATTTAGTGTATTTTTCTTTACCCATTTTTGAGTTATCTTCAAAATTTAAAATTTTTAATTTTCCCTAAATATCTCGAATACCGTCCACTTCAGGGAAATTATGTATGAAAAAAAAAGTTATAGAAAATGACATCATAAGCAACTTTTATTTAAACAATTTTCATAAAAATTTCAATTTTGCACTTTTTGTCAAATTTCTTAAATACAGACCATTTAATAAAAATTATGTATAAAACAAAAATATATAAAATACCTTCCTAAGCAACTTTTATTTAAAGAATTTTTTGGTCCAAACTATGCCCAACATATAATAGGATGAATTAAAGCTTAAGTTTATAATTTGGTGTTTTTCGTTTCATCCGCTTTATCTTTATCTTCAAAATTCGAAATTTGTACTTTTCCTCAAATATCTCGAATACGAATCATTTTAAAAAAATTATGTAAAGCACAAAAAATATAGAAAACAATAACACTAGTAACTTTTATTAAACAAATTTTCTTTTTAAATCGTAAATAATAGATATATTCGATAAAGTAGAAAAACGACCCCTATAAACTACCCCCCAGATATTCTGTGCCCAAAATCTAATCAAATCACCACACACAAACAGATACACAGACATTTTTCGCAAAAATAGTAAAACGGATTCAAAAAAAAGGTAAAAATCCGTCGAAAACTCGAGATCGAAAAAAAAATGATTCCTGTATACAGACAGAAAAGTAAAAATTGAGATGACAGAAATATATTTTTTTATTGATTTAAATTTGAATCACTGAAAGCTTTATTTTACTAATTCCAAATATTCATTTTAAATGTATTCTTAAAATGGGTTAATTATTATTAATAAAATTCTAAATACAATTACAAAAAATTATCCACGATATTTATAAAAAATTTAAAAAA